ATGGAGGGGACCTGCTCAGGGTCACAGACGTCACAGGCCACATGTCTGGCTCTGCCATAGCAGCTTCCGTGGGTGCTCTCATTCTTCCAAGATAGGTCCCTTCTTAGAGACTTGGGGCCTGCTCCTAAGAGTGTTATTAAGTGCTGACAGAAGGTGCTGTGTGGAATGACTGTCACCTCCCCTGATACGCCTTGCTCTGCAGGCTGGACTGGCCACACAGTCCCATTCTCCCCCTCCAACCTCTCATCTTAGAGCAAGAAGAGAGCCATCATTCCTGCCTAGTCCATTTCATCCTACTTCGGTTAACTAAACAATCTCAGACTTGTCCCAGGCTTACCTAATGAATATTAGCCCATACTTGGGCGCAGATTATAATGCTCCGCTGAAAAAGAGCTTCATATATAAAATGATGCTAACAAGCCTTCTTTTCACTTACACCAACGATTTTACATAGCATTCTCTAGAACGATATTTCCCAAAACATGTTTTTAAGAGACAATGCATATGAAAATGGTCTGTGGCTCAATAAATCTGGAAAACACTAGGCTAACCATGTTTAATCAAGTTCATTTCATGCAGAATTTCTCAGAGCCTCTAATCCATTAAGAGTCATTGTGAATTTCCACATGGGGGCAATTATAGAACAAATCCTCCCAAGTATCCTTGCCTGTTGATTTCATGTACAGATGATGGCTCAGAGACATGTTCTAGGAACTCTTTCTTTAAAGCTTAATGGGTAAAATCTTGTGGAAAAACTGTTATCTATGCATTAAGGAAGCAGTGATAAGAGGCCTTTTTTTGATGTGGTAGGAATGAGATATTGTTTCTAGAGTTTTAAAAACAAGCATAAAGCCATCAAAAGGAAGGAGATCTTGCCATTTGCAATGACGTGGATGGAACTGGAGGGTGTTATGCTGAGTGAAATAAGTCAATCAGAGAAAGACATGTATCATATGACCTCACTGATATGAGGAATTCTTAATCTCAGGAGACAAACTAAGTGTTGCTGGAGTGGTGGGGGGGTGGGAGGGATGGGGTGGCTGGGTGATAGACATTGGGGAGGGTATGTGCTGTGGCGAGTGCTGTGAATTGTGCAAGACTGTTGAATCACATATCTGTACCTCTGAAACAAATAATGCAATATATGTTAAG